TTTTGCTTCGGCAGTAGCACAACGGTTGGGATCATCAAAACCTGATTCATTGCGGTCCAAAAGGTATCAAAATTATTCAGAATGCTAATGGTTCTGCTCTATATAAGGGGAGGCCCAAGCTAGGGCTTCCCCCAGTCAGAAGCCCAATAATAAACATTACCTTCTTTTTTCTCTGAAGGAAACGCAGCAGGGTACATTTGGAAATATACACGACATTGATTAAGGAAACCCCTGTATTGGCGGCGGTCTCCATTAAAACTTAGCTGGTTGGGGTTGCTGGGCATATGTGAGCTAGGATCATCTCGATTCAGCAGTTGTCTCTGCAGAGCCTGAATCTCTCCCTGTTGCCTTTCTACTATACCTTGCAGTTCAGAAAATTTTTCTTGGTAGGTAACACCAAACTCTTGCAGCTCTGAAATTTGCTGCCTGACAGGAGCCATGGCATATTGCTATAGCGGCCTCTCCATGTTTTGGGCCAGATTATTCTGTCATGATCTGGGTCAGGTTCAGAGACCATTGCTACAGCAGTTGTAAGGCTTACCTGAAACCAGCAGGATTGGTACACCAGCGGCCCACCCTGGGAATGACGCAGGCTCACCTGAGGTGCGGGGTCTAAGCATCCACCGGTCTTCCCCAGAGCTCCTAATGGTGGAGATGGATTTGGCTGCGTGTGAATGCCAGTCGCAGATCTTCAGGATCACCAAAGGCAGGATCATCCAAAGAATTGTCAAGGGAGCTGTCCAGCATTCCAGGTGGCTCAGTGAGAAGAAACACTGTCTCTCACTGCAGAAGGCCCAGGTTTGATTCCAGGCTCTGACACACAGTTTCAAAGGTCACTGTCGGTAGAACACTACGCCGTCGTGGTTTCAAATCATGCATTGCACGGAAGGTTCCCCTGCTCAAGTCATCACATGTCCAGGCCCGTCTGAAGTTTGCCAATGACCATCTGGATGATCCAGAGGAGGCATGGGAGAAAGTCATGTGGTCAGATGAGACCAAAGTAGAACTTTTTGGTCTAAACTTCACTTGTCATGTTTGGAGGAAAAAGAAAGATGAGTTGCATCCCAAGAACACCATCCCTACTGTGAAGCATGGGGGTGGTAACATCATGCTTTGGGGGTGCTTTCCTGCAAAGGGGATAGGACGACTGCACTGTATTAAGGAGAGGATGAATGGGGCCATTTATTGTGAGATTTTGAGCAACAACCTCCTTCCCTCAGTCAGAGCATTGAAGATGGGTCGTGGCTGGGTCTTCCAACATGACAACGAACCGAAGCACACAGCCAGGATAACCAAGGAGTGGCTCCGTAAGAAGCATATCAAGGTTCTGGAGTGGCCTAGCCAGTCTCCAGACCTAAATCCAATAGAACATCTTTGGAGGGCGCTGAAACTCTGTGTTGCAACAGCCCCGAAACCTGACAGATCTAGAGGAGATCTGTGCGGAGGAGTGGGCCAAAATCCCTGTTGCAGTGCAAACCTGGTCAAGAACTCCAGGAAACGTCTGACCTCTGTAATTGCAAACAAAGGCTTCTGTACCAAAATTGAATATGGATTTTCTCAGGTGTTCAAATATTTGCAAGACAAATCATACAATGGGATTTCCTGAATTTTTTTTTTAAATTCTGTCTCTCAGAGTGGGAATGCACCTACAATGTGAATGTCAGACCCCTCCATGATTTCTAAGTGGGAGAACTTGCAAAATCGTAGGGGGTTCAAATACTTCTGTTCCTCACTGTGTGTATGTATATATGTGTGTGTATATGTCTATATATATATATATATATATTAAATTCTTTTTGTTTTAATTTAAGGCGCCAGCAGAGCATTGCACCCACGATCAGCTGATCACGGGTGCAGTCTGAGAGTACTGCAGACTCTCTGCATAGCTGTGTGTCTGTACCTCATACAGGCAGGCAGTTACCTGAGAGGAAGAAGCTCAATAGACTATGAGAGTGCTCACCGGCGCCCTCGCAGTGTATTGAGAACTACAAGTCAGCTGTAATGGCCGATGGTACGTTTGTAGTTCATTAATTGACAGGAAACTGTAAATGAATGACACGGCCAAGTGGGCAGAGCCCCGCACAACTGCACTGTTTTCAGATTGTGACAGTGGGTGTGTGGATAAGATCCCCGGCCCGCTGTCACAGGGAGGAGGGATCGAGGCAGAGCTGCAGGAACATGTAAAACTTATCCTTTAACCACCTCCCACCCGCCATATAGTCCAATGACGAGCACAAGGTGGTTCTCTTATTCTGGGAGGACGTCATGTGACGTCCTCCCATTCTCACCGTGCATGCGTAGCTCAGGGAGCATGCAGCGTGGCAATCGGCGGTGCGCTGTGTCCCTCGGACACAGTGGATCACCGATCACGGAAAGAGCCGAAGATGTTGGCTCGGTCATGTGACACAGCTGATCACATGTAAACAGGGAAATGCCGGTTATCGGCATTTCTCTCCTCTCGAGCTGTCATGCTGACAGAGGAGAGGAGAGCCGGTAATCAGCTTTCCGCAGAGGGGACATTTACACTGATCATCAGGGCAACAAAAATGAGCTGTTTGGTCGAGGTGCCAGAAAGGAAGCTTTTACTGCACCAAGGCCACAAAAAAGCCTGGCTACAATATGCCTGACAACACCTTGACATGCCTAACCGGGCCTTCTTGTGTCATTGATGCAGTAAAGGCTTCTTTCTGGCACCTCCACCATGCAGCTCATTTTTGTTCAAGTGTCATATTGTGCTCCTTCAGAACAACCACACTGTATTTTTCCAGAGCAGCCTGTATTTTTCTTGTGGTTACCTATGGGTTTCCCTTTGTATCCCGGACAATTCTTCTATCAGTTGTGGCTGCAATCTTTCTTGGTCTACCTGACCATGGCTTGGTATCAAGAGATCCCCGAACTTTCCACTTCTTAATAGGTGATTTATCAGTACTGATTGGCATATTCAAGGCTTTGGACATCTTTATATGTCCTTTTACATCTTTATAAAGTTCCATTACCTTGTTACGCAGGACTTTTGACAGTTTTTTTTTCTGATCAGTATCTAGCCTAGTCAGTGCTTCCACGTAAGAGCTAACAAACTCATTGACTATTTATACACTGACACTAATTGAAATTTAAGAAGCCACAGATGTGGGACATTAACCTCTAATTGGCATTTTACCCGTGTGTGTCACCTTGTGTGTCTGTACCAAGGCCAAACATTCCGTGGGGGCGGAGACTTCTGATGCTGGGGGCGGGGACTTCTGATGCTGGGGGCGGGGACTTCTGATGCTGGGGGCGGGGACTTCTGATGCTGGGGGGCGGGGACGTCTGATGCTGGGGGGGGCGGAGACTTCTGATCCGGGCCATTTGGGTGATTTCTGTTATCATTACAATTTAAAAAGAAGCCAAACAACTCTTTGATAATAAATGGCTTCATATGATCATCACCCTTCAATAAAAGAGCATTTTTTTGGAATGATCAGTCATATTTTCAATATCAATGGCAAAATGCCACAATTTCTACCAGGGTATGCAAACTTTTGAGCACAACTGTAAGTCCCCAATGTGATAAAATTTTGTTGTGAAAGGTTCTTTTTATTGAAACATCAGGGGTCATCTAGACCCCTGATGTCTCCCCTGCCCTCCATTGAAGCTAGTTAAGCAGATTTTTTGCTCCATTCACTTCTTCCCAGCCATAGCAGCCGGAGAAAGTGACAGTCAAACCCAGAAGTATTGTAATGCACATTCTTCCCCTCCTGAGAGGTACCTGCTGTGGGGTTCCTGGGCCTGCAGATGTGCTAGTGGAGCCTGGTCACCGCCAACCTGACGGCTTGTCAGATTTACATACACTCTTGGCTGCTGTCGCAGCTGAGGGTCTGTGTAAAGCCCCCATACTGCTGCTGATATATGATATACGGTGTCAGCGAATGGCTTAGATAAAACCTTTCTGTATTCATTAAAGTGGTTGTGAACCTTTAAATAAACCCAGTCAAGTGACTGGCCTCAGATACAGAGATGAAACAAATCCTCCTATATAAGTTGTACCTGTTTAACTGCAGTCATCCGTTCTCTACATCCGTGCAGAATTTCTACAGCTTGTGTGAGCTTTCAGAAAGCAGGGGGGTGGAGAGCTGAATTTAAACTGTGCAGAGCTCAGTGAGATTTGATTGGAGGGAAGACACACACCACCCTTCACACAGCACACAGGAACAGAGCTGAGGCCGTTAATCACAGGCTGTGTGCTACAGATTCCTCCCCTGCCACCATTTTTCTCTTGGTGTCAGGAAAACTTGTCAGAAGTGACTCATGCTGATAGCAGAGGAACGAGGCAGCAGGCAGAAATGACGCTTAGTGCTCTGAATTGAGACGAGTACACCCTATAGATGGGGGGGGGGGGGGGGGGTTCAATTTAATCGATGTCCACATCAGCATTTTGGTTGCCCTTTAAAGGGACGGTTGTATCTGTAATAGATGCTTAAGAGCACCCTACACCCCCCCCCCCCCTTACATCAGATGTCATTATTTCAATTATTTTAGACCCAATGATGTTATCACTGGATCCCTCTGCTTCTCTATGCAGTGCAAGAAGATCACGGCCTAGTGAATGGACAGGATGCGTTCTCATGAGTATGAAGTGTCGGTGATCACTCTGATATTGGGCAGAATAGCCTGGTATCATAGGGCCATTTATTTTAAACTGCTTAGAGCTGTTCCTGGCTTTTTGGGCATCATCAGTGCAGTGCTTCTGTGCAGTAGGGTCTGGGCACTATACACCAGCGTTTCTAGATGTACATTTGGCTGTTGGGATGTACAGCACTGATTTGTATGGCTCCAACCACTGTCCTGAAATGAGGAATAATCCTTCACGATGGAACGAGAGGCAGTTCTGTGCGGTCATAGATGGCAAAATCCAATCCCGCCTTCTGCTGCCAATACTCAGGTTGGGCAGTAGAGGGCGCTCATCGCTCATCCAACATCCATCCTGGTTGTAATGTGACATTTCTGGTGGTTGTCTTGTAGATGCGATTTATGCTGCTGTTCAGCCGGCAGGGGAAGCTGCGCCTGCAGAAATGGTACGTCGCCACTTCAGAGCGGGACAAGAAGAAGCTGGTGAGAGATTTAATGCAGACGGTGCTCAGCCGCAAACCGAAAATGTGCAGTTTCCTGGAGTGGAAGGACTTGAAGGTGGTCTATAAAAGGTGAGGACCCTCTACAATCGGCACTCTATATGCGTGTCCTTCACAGAAAACAATCCTTTGTGTCACTGCAAGGTATAATGGTAAATAAATATATTTCAAAAATCTTATCATATAAATTTCTGTCTGTAGCCAAAACATTTTGGTATAGTTTTGGATCGATTATAAAAAGGTTAGACTCCCCACAAGCTGATTCATCTGATCTATCTGTTCTCGATCATTGTCACTGGAAGAAAAGGTGACAAAGTCCCAAATGTTACAGTTGTCACCGGAACAGGAAGTGAGGGGGATTTTTCAAGCTGTCTAAGAATGGATTTCCTCTCACATCTCGTTGTGTCTCCAGAACAATACGTGATGCAAAATCTCCATAATGGGACATAAACATTAACCAATACATGCCCGGCCAATAGCCAAAAGGCGGACGGAAAAATGTATTGGATTTCCGGGTTGGACGCCAAATGGCGTCCTCCCGCACATGCGCACTTTTCGCGCTTGCAGAGCTGCGCAGCGGCGCGATCTGTCACCGGCCGTGTACCTCGGACATGGCCGATGACAGATCTGAGTATTGGCTCCGTTGCCGGTACCATGTGACCTGCTGTGACCAATCACAGCGGGTGACATGACAGTTGTATACAATGGTTGGCTTCATTCATGCCATCCATTTTATACTAGTGTCTAGCTGTGAATGGTCACAGCTAATCACATGCACATGTCATGTGATTAGCTGTGGCCAAATCACAGCTAAGCACAAAAAAAAAAAAAAACCCTGAATGAATAGATGTCATTCAGGTAAATGCTTGCTTATAGCAAAGTAATTCTTTGCTATAAGCAAATTGTGTAAAAAAAAAAAAAAAATACTGATCACTTCCCCAAAGTAGTACAATGTTACTATGGTACCGTTGTACTACTTTGGTCATAGAGAAATATGAAAAAAAAATATTAAAAAAAAAAGTAATAAAAAATTTAAAATAATAAATTTTTTTTTAAAAAATATATTTTTTTTTCATACTGTCACCAGTCAGTGTCCCTGATCACCGCCATGCCAGTTATATGACGACGCTGTACTGCACTGGTGACAGTATGTAAAAAAAAAAATTGTGAAAATAATTTTTTGCATTTTTTCATTTTCCGAAAAATTATGACATAAAAAAAAAATACAACTTCAAAAAACTCGCCATGCCTCTTATGAAGTACGTTGGACTGTCTACTTTGCAAAAAGGGGTCATTTGGGGATATCTGTACTGTTCTGACATTTGGGGGATATCTGTACTGTCCTGACATTTGGGGGATATCTGTACTGTTCTGACATTTGGGGGATATCTGTACTATTCTGACATTCTTGGACCTCAAGAAATTGGATTGGCTGTCAGTACTTCAGGATTGATCAATATTCAGATCTATACCATAGTTTGTGAACTCTATAACTTTCCTACAAACTAAATAATACATCCTAATTTGGGTTATTTTCACCAAAGACATGGAGCAGAATACATCTCGGCCTAAATTTATGAAGAACAATTATTTATTTGCAAACTTTTATAACAGAAACAAAGAAAAACGTGTTTTGTTTTTTTTTTTTTTTCAAAATTTTCAGTCTTTTTTTGATAATTTAGCAAAAAATAAAAACCCCAGCGGTGATTAAATACCACCAAAAGAAAGCTCTAGTTGTGTGAAGAAAATGATAAAATTTTAGGTTGGGTACAATGTTGTATGACCGCGCAATTGTCATTCAAAATGTGAGAGCGCTGAAACCTGAAAAATGGCCTGGGCAGGAAGGGGTAAAAGTGCCCGGTATTGAATTGGTAAAGCATACGTAAACCCTTACTTTATAAAACACCCCATTCAGTTTAAAATAGAAATGAAAAGCAAAACTGTTGTGTATAGATATAAATAACATTTTGGATACCTTTTTTTTTTTTTTTTATCCCCTGTTGACCACATACCCTCTGTTCTCAGCTGCGTAAGCAGCTCATTGAGCTGGGAGTGGAGAAACAGCAGCACACTCATCTTCCTAGTCAGGACATTTCTGATCATTGGAGGAGAGCAGGCTCAGTCCCAGCACAGCTAGAGAACTAGCAGTACACTGGTCTTCCTAGTCAATGGCTATGCAGGGGGTGGGGGGGGGGGGGCTTGTCAGCACAAGTCGTCGGGTCATTGGAGGAGAGCAGGCAGCAGCATAGCTAGTAAACTAACCCTGCTGTGCTCTCATGCCTGGTGTGGTCAGTTTCTTATTAGGAAAGCAGAGAGACTGGCAGTAACACCCAAGGATTTCACACAAAGGAAGCAATACAAAGAGAAAAAGATACTTTTTTTTTTTATACAAGTACATGGCACAGCAGGTACATATCTTAGATTGTACACCCCTTGGGGGTTAGGGACTAATGTGAATGTACTATGTGTGTGTATATATATATGTGTATATATATATATATATATATATGTGTGTGTGTGTGTGTGTGTATATATATATATGTGTGTGTGTGTGTGTATATATATATATATGTGTGTGTGTGTGTGTGTGTGTATATATATATATGTGTGTGTGTGTGTGTGTGTGTGTATATATATATATATATATATGTGTGTGTGTGTGTGTGTGTGTATATATATATATATATATATATATATATATATATATATATATATATATATATATATAGCGCTGCGTAAATTGTACCTGAAATAAATGAAACATTTTAAAAAAATATCAGGAATATGAAATGTTGGCTTTACATATTTCTTAAAGCTGACCTTAAAGCGGAGCTCCACCCAAAAAGGGGAAGTTCCGCTTTAAGGACTGCTGCCCTGCTCCCCATTAAAGATTGGCACCTTTGGGAGGCGGGTACCTGAATTTGACAGGTACCCGCTCCCATTTCCAGTCCTATCGCCTAGGGGATCGGAAACGGAAGGTGTCCTCCCTCCCTGTAGTCTTTTGGGACACGTGACAGGTCCCAGAAGATTACAGGGCCATTCACAAAGCGCAGAGCTACTCGCACATGCGCAATGGGTACCCGGCTGTGAAGCCGCAAGCTGTCAGAGCGGGTGCCCACATTGAGGATGGCGGCCTCCTGGAATCTAGGACGGCCGTTGAAACGGGCTGCGGGGGACACACCACGGGACCGAGGGACAAGTAAGTGGCTGATTTTTAAACGTTTTTGTAGCTGCTGACTTTTATCTTCTGGGACCTGTCTTGTGTCCCAAAAGACTACAGGGAGGGAGGACACCTTCCATTTCCGATCGCCTAGGCGATAGGATTGGAAATGGGAGCGGGTTCCTGTCAAATTCGGGTACCCGTCCCCCAAAGGTGCTAATCCTTAATGGGGAGTGGGGGAGCAGTCCTTAAAGCGGAACTTCCCCTTTTGGGTGTAATGGTCCTCTAGTTTTCTGGGACCTGTCACGTGTCCCAAAAGACTACAGGGAGGGAGGGGAGAGGACACCTTCCACTTCTGATCGCCTAGGCGGTCAGACCGAAAGTGGGAGCGGGGAACTTGTCAATTTGGGTACCCGCTCCCCCCTGCCCCCCAAAGGTGCCAATCCTTAATGGGGAGCAGTCCTTAAAGCGGAACTTCCCCTTCCCCTGGAATGGTCCTGTAATCTTCTGGGACCTGTCACGTGTCCCAAAAGACTGCAGGGGGGGGAGGACACCTTCCGCTTCCGATCGACTAGGCAATCAGACCGGAAGTGGGAGCGGGTACCTGTCAATTCGGGTACCCGCTCCCCCCTTCCCTTCCAAAGGTGCCAATTCTTAATGGGGAGCGGGGGAGCAGTCCTTAAAGCGGAACTTCCCCTTCTGGGTGGAATGGTCCTGTAATCTTCTGGGACCTGTCACGTGTCCCAAAAGACTACAGGGAGGAAGGAGGGAGGACAACTTCCGCTTCCGATCGCCTAGCGATCAGACCGGAAGTGGGAGCGGGTACCTGTCAATTCGGGTACCCGCTCCCCCCAGCCCCCCAAAGGTGCCAATCCTTAATGGGGAGCGGGGGAGCAGTCCTTAAAGCGTAACTTCCTATTTTGGGTGGAGCTCCACTTTAAAGCTGACCTTAACTCAAAAGTGAAAGTAGCAGTCCTCCTCTTCCCCACCCCTGCCTCTTTCCAGATAGCAGGTTTCTTTTTTACATAGATAAGGATTGTGCCTGCTTCGGACCAAACCCCAACCCATCATCCACCCCCAACCCCCCACTCGTGTCCACGAACTCTTAATACACATCATAAGTTTGGATTCATTGAGTTTACCAAAAATGTAAATATTGCAGAATATACAGCCTCATGCTACATAACCAAGCTCCATTTCATGCTGAATAAACTAAATTATTAATGTATCCTAAATAGAAAACTATCTTTAGATTGACTTTTACTCCAAAGGCATTTTATTAAAATAAATTTGATAAAAATAAAAAAATCCAATTTAAATAAAAAAAAAAATCTGATTTTTTTTTTTTTCCTCACTTGCTTTAACCACTTCCAGACCGGACACTTTTACCCCCTTCCTGACCAGGGCAATTTTCAGCTTTCAGCGCTATCACACTTTGAATGACAATTACGCAGTCATGCAACACTGTACCCAAATGAATTTTTTACCATTTTTTTGAGACAGATAAAGCTTTATTTTGGTGGCAATTATTCATTTATTTATTTATTTTTTTTTGCTATGTAAATGAAAAAGTCCACAAATTTTGAAAAAAAAAAAAAAGTGTTTTTTTTTAATAAAATTTTGCAAATAAATAATATTTCATCATAAATCTTGGCCAAAATTGATTCCGTTATCTTTTTAGTAAAAAAAAAAAAAAAAAAATCCAAATTAGTTTATAACCAAAAATTATAATTTTTAAACCTTTTTTTTTTTTACATTTTTATTTTATTTTTTTATATTTTTTATTTTTATTTTTTTTTACATACTGTTACCCTAGCAGTGCAGTGTCACCATGGCTTACTATGTCATTGCTTACTACGTGTGAAATCTGTGAATGATCACAGAGGTAACATGGTACAAGGCTATTCACACA